ATGTTTTATATAGATAAATCATTAAACTTATAAAAAGTTATTTATTATCGTAATCTCTTAAATCGACGCTTCGAGACAAATGTAAATCCGCGGGACGGCGACCGATCAGGTAAGTCCTCGCTCGAACGTCCAGGTAGATCTTCACTCGCGCGATCGACGATCCAGGATCGACGGATCGAGGATCGACGGCACGCAATGCGCTGGATCCACGGGAGATGGAGCCCGCGGTAAGAGCGAGCGATCCTACACGGTGTGCATAAAACACACCGGTGGCGGTGATCGGCGACGCTCTGGCCGCGGGCAGAGAAAGCTCGACCGCCTCGAAGGCTCCGTCGAAGGCGCCCCGGCTGCTCCTTCTGCCCGCCGACACGCCGCGTACCCCACTGCCTCGGTCTCTTCTTTCCTTTCACCGCCGTGGCATATGTCACGTCAGGGCCGCATCGATCTGCCCCGAAAGGCTCGCCTTTTTCACGATGACAGGGGACCGATGAATCCCCGGAGGAACCCGGAGGGACACCAGAGCCTCCACCCCGCCCATGATTCGCCTTACGCGGCCGTTTCGCGACGTAAACGTCTCTTGCGATCGCCTGTTAGAAATTTACGTCACCCGATGTTTAATTTAAGATTCTTAACGAAATTTCCCCTCGAGGGAAAGATCTTCTATAGCGAAGATCGCGCGGAATATTCCGCAGATCGCAGGATCGAAAACTGTTACTAGGTCGAATGTCGAAATTATAATAAATTTAAATCTAAATCACTGTATTTGCCGACGACTGAATTACAGGTATACGCGTTCGCCGCCGCGTCGCGTGTGCCAATGATTTCCTCTTTTTTTTTTTACACTGGATGTCATTACCAATGACATTTCGTTTCATTCTTTCCATTTTTTTCAGCCGAGCTCGTCAATTCACAGTCGATCCCATCGATCATCGCGTTTTACTTCGCGGCAAAATTATAATTTCGCCGCCCTGCTCCATCGTGACGATTGCCATCGGATCTCGCAGATTTTTCTCGAGAACGTGCCGACGTATATTGCATATTCGATGGATCCAGTCGGTGGATGACCTTATCGATAACGGAGATATCCCCCGAGTCGCTTTCTAAGCGCAGTCCGCGGCGCGCCGCGATCACGCTCCGTTCGGCGATCGCAATTACGTGAATCATCGCTGCACTCGACCGCCGCGGCTCGGGAAAACGTAACTTGCCACTCGCTCGACCGAGGATGGGTGAATGCATCCTCTGCACTTCCTGCTCTCGCGAGCGAGCGAGCGAGCGAGCGACCGGGACCCCGAATCCCGCCGATCGCGATCACGAGGAAGTCCGTCGTGCCGAGAGGAGGATCTTCCTGTCTCCCGAGGACCGATTTTTCGTCTCGCGATTTAACGATCCACCGGTCCATCGCGCCGGTCGATCGCAAACGCGTGATGATGAATTTGAGGGGAACGTCCGAGGCGGACGGCTTAAGAATATGCCGTTAAGCCGCGCGCAATTGAACGATAATGATAGCGCGTTTCGATACTTTCGCGCCGCTACTTAGGCAAGCTAAGTGGCATTTTGCACGGTCGCTGGTTTTATATCTGGCAAAGGGCAAATTCCTGGCACGCGCGTGGATCCGCGCGACGGATCTCCTCGCGACGACGAAGCCGATGCAGCGGCACCTGCCTGCGTCTGATCGCATCGGCGAAAAAAAAACGCCGCCACGATTGTAAGATCGGCACGACGGGACGAAGTCGCCAGAAAGTCGCGTGATAAGTAGCGTTATCGAATTAGCCGCTGATTTTAAGACGCAAGTTCTGTATTTATTGCGGTAGCCGTGCATTAGAGCCGAGACATACTTTCTAGCAGTTTCGAGTTCACTGTTCAGTGAACATTGTGTCGACGGTTGCACCACACGGAGAGGCGCGCAATATCCGATTATATGCTACTGAAAAATGCGAAATGCCGAAGAGTCTGGAGATGCTTTCATTTTTTTTATGCTCGTAAAAACCGCGAGTAGAAATTTGAATCCGCGAAAGTCGTTTGAAATAAATACGCAGAAAATAGAACCCGACGTGATTCGCCGAACATGTGTTCGCTGCAAGTTGATTTAGCGATTCTTTTATTTTCTTTTAATTTAAATGCGGAACTCGCGATGCGTACAACGATGTACAGCGCTGCGTTGTTCCACATTTAAATTCCAAAATAAAAGAATCGCTAAATCGACTTGCAGCGAACACATGTTCGGCAAATCGCGTCGGGTCGCCGCCGCGCCGCGTGCACGATCGCGCGAATTGCGAGCCGGCGAGCGCAATGATGGAATTCGCAATTGACAAAGGGGGCGCATTTCTCGCGCGCGGGTCCGCAAATGCTTTTTCTCGCCGAGTCATCGAAACTCGCGAACGAAAAGCGAATCCGCGCCGGAATTCGCGGAGAGATTCGCGAGCGCCGCTTGGCATTTGTATCTCGAGAGTCAGTCCGTCGACGATGGTGCAATAGGCGCGTCCGCGCGGGCCCGTCCAAAATGCCAAACGAGCCCTTGCCCTCCTACCACCTCTCCTCCTCTCCTCTGCATTGACATTTGAAAAAGAAGATCTGCCCGGACGACGCCCGCGGGTGATTACAGCGTCGCGTTCGAGAGCCGCCGCCACCGCCGCCGCCGCCGCTGCCGCCACTTTCGAGAGACGATTGTGTGTCACGATATTGTAATGTTTCGATCTATCGGTCTATCATTAACCGGCGCGCACGAACGCGCGCGCGCGGCGAGCAAGCACCCGGTCCGCAAATGAGACCGCGTGCGCGATCGTTTCACTTTCGACCGCAGATCCACGACGGCGACGACGACAATGATAATGATGATGATGATGATGATGATGATGATGACAGATCGGCCGCGCGGTGCGGCGCGCGATGGTGTTTTGTTCGTGTAAAAATAACATTGCGAGAAAACGGCAACGGTAAGGAGTACTACTATAACGAAATTATTTATTTCGCTTCATTTCTCGACTCGTTATGTAAAAATCTTAGGTCATCGTAGAAAGCTGCCGCGTGCGCGCGCTCGCGCGATGCAAGACGAATTTTCGCGATCCGCCGATCGATATAAACAAATATTATGTAAAACTCCTCGGACGCTTGGTGATAACGTTAATAGCATCGTTCGCGCGACTTTCCAGCAATTATACGCCCGGGGAACGCCCCATTTTCTACTCGGCGTTCGTACCCGCGCGATCGGCCGCCGATGCACGTACTCGGATTTATGATTACAGTTACCGGAAGCGCGGATAGAACCCGCGCGAAAGCTCGAACAGCCGCAAGCTGACCGATCGCGAACTCGTGGATAACTCGAATCGCTGGGATCGTTGCAACATTCCGTCGCTTCACGACACAATAAAGACGAAGAATTTTAACGGGCGGGGATCCGAGGGGATTCGCTTCCCCGTCGGCTGCGGTTTTTAAAGCCGATAAACTGCAAGAGACGTTTAAGGATCGTTAATTGAATTCACGATGCGCGAGGAGAGACGAGAGTACCCATCGTCCATTTCTCCGATGGCGTTTTCTCAACGGCGAGGCTGCCTGATCCGCAATCCCGAGACATTCCGATCTGCATCTTTGAAACTCCGCGTGCGTATACCTTGATTTTATCCGGCCGAAATGCTAAAGCCGTCGAAGGAGGTCGTTATTCTTTCGACCTTGATAAACTTACGTCACCTCTCATCACTTTCTCAAGTCTTGTCAACGTAAACTTTTTTAAAATGCCAACGACGATTGTAATATCCCTGTTTAGGCAAAAAAAAAAAATCTCGGAAATATTCGCATCTCATTTGAAAATATTACGACTGCGTTCGAGGAACGCGAACCTGTCAATGCCATGTGTCATTCTATCATTCATTAGATGTAAAATAAAGATATAGAATGACGCAATGGTATTGATAGCACGCTGCTCGAAGTCTAAATGAAATCAGGACTCTCGTTTTCAATGTTTGTTTTCTGACCGTAAAATTGATTGCTTATTTTAAAAATTACTCCGATTCGTCGATTTTATTAATTTCACAGCGATTTAAAAGATTTCCAAGTAGTTAGACATACATTCCCCGCTGCCATAAAGAAACATTCTACATAACGATCGCGGTCGTACGATCGTTTTATTGCATTCTTATATCACTCGCTATAAATTTCCGTGTCGCGGAAACTTAATTTATGTACTTACTTTCAATTAACGGCGACGGAGATAAAATCGACGAGAATAGCGCAACACGCTACGCGTTGCGCGGGAATTTTTATGCGGGAAACGTGCGTGAAGCACTTAGCGTCGCGAGAGATACTTCTCTTTAAGTTTCCTAGGTCGAGGTCGTACGCTCGGAACCTACCACCGACACCAGATGAATTGCCTGTACCTTGTACTTTCATACCGCGCCGGGAAATTATTGACCAATTACTCTTCCCTTCCTGCGAGCGGACGCGCGATTAATGATAGTCATAGATCAAAATATCTTCAAGGAGATATCTAGATTCAGATATAGCTTTGCGGGATTGAATCTGCGTCCCAGGGCGCGATAGAAAAAAAACTCACACTGTCGCTGCCGGTATAAGTTTTTACACTGTCATGACGTACTCCATTAATTTTCCCAAAATCATCACGTTATTCGAACGTTATCATATCGATCGACAGAGTTACGTTGCTTTCAAGGTGAGAAGTAAGATTCACGTTGAATATTAAACGACTGTGCCGTCGTCGAGCCAGCAATTGTTCGCGGCATATTCTGAAAGGCGCTCTCGCTCCATCTCCAGTTGGATTCGCGATTCTTAACTCAAGTACCTATAGGCGGCGGTAATATCATGCTCGAGAGTGTCCTCAGAAAACGAGGTGTCCCGGCGGTTTCGATACGTACGTTCCTGGATCACGCGGCGGAGGTACGATATACGCGGGCGGCAATGCTCAAAGATGAGAAAGAGGGGACCCGTTCGCGGCACCGTCGTGGTGGTGGCAATATAAGGCCCGTCCGGTGGCGGGCCTCAGCCAGTCCGTGAGCGGTACCTACACCTTCAAGGTCCGCGTCCTTGACGCGTCACTCGTCCTCGCCCCGATCCGTGTGCCGTTACACGAAGAGGACCCATTCGCCGTTGCGGGCGTCTCGCGCGGCCGAGTTCTAGCCTAAGAGGGTCTCCCTCCGTGAAGAATCGGAGCCCTGCGCTTCAGCACTTGACCCCCACTCCCCTCTCCCGCGCGCCCTACCCCGCCCCGGAAGTGGTGAACGGATACGTTGCCAACGTCGCCACCCCACCCCTGGATCGGTTCCCTTTCATCCCTTCCTGAACTGTAAGCGTTTCGAAGCGTTCAGTTGACCGGGAGTGATTGAGGGGTAAAGAGTTGGGTGACACCCTGGAAGCGGCTCTCGTGGCAAAACGACGACAGCAACGACGTGGTCGAGAAGAGGAAGTTGCATTCCCCGCCGAGGGTCAGGACGAGCATGAGGTCCTCGCTGGTGCTGCTCCTGGTAGCAGCTTTCGTCCTTGCCGGTGAGTAACAGATTTCTCTGCTCAGCTCTCTCGCCGTCGCCGATATCGTTCCACGTCGATCGGCTATATGCGGCTCGCGTATTCCCCGGTGGCGGGGCAGCATGTGAGAGTTCTCCAAGCGTTACCGTCGATCGTGATGTGTATAGGAGATTCTTATAGACTCGCGAGAATCGCGCGATCCGAGATTCTTCCACCGATTAAATACATTAATTATTTTTTATGTTACATTTAGTCATCGCCTTCTTTATGAATTACACGAGAATTGCTAAGAATCCGATTTTACCGGAAATAATTCGCGGTATCACAGACGATGTTGAACGTACGTTTTCCAAAGCGCCGATAAGAATCTCGATTAATTAAAGTCATACATCAATTAAATTATGAGAAATACATGTACATATGTATCTTATAGAAAGAAATCAGGAATAAATATCTAAGGAATTCTGATCAATTGCGAAGATTAATATACGAGGCGTTTCTAATGAGAAATATCTCGGATATCTCACAGGTGGACACGTGAGATCGCGTATAGCCATTCAAGATGGCGAAAGTGCCACTGCAATCTGGCGCTTGGCATTTTCTTAATCTATTCTTGTATTTTCTACCCCGCGGTCCTATAGCTGGATCTCCTTTTTTTTCCACGTCGCAGACAAGCAATGCTCGCGGCGGCAGAAGCAATAATTTTGTATAGCCGAGCCGATCATCGGGACGACAGGTTGCATAAGAGATTAGAGCGTGAAAGCTTCTCGGTCCGGTCGGTCCCGGATGGGTGACGTCACTGCCGTGCCCCGAACCTCTGAAAATGGCGCGGGTGGGGGCACAACTTTCCCTGTTTGTCGCTCCGTCACAAAGTTATCTCGCGAGCCCGGGGGACCAACGGGATCGAGCGTTCTGACAGACTATTTTTTTAGAAGAAATTCTGAATAATGTCTCTAAAGACTTGATGATTGAAATATCAATTTATAATATCTTTAAGTTCGCAAGATTGTTGGGCAAGTCTTATCTTGTTTCCTATGTCTTTTTTAATACACGAGAAAATTAAATGTTTTAACGAATTACATTTTATTAGCAACATAATTATAGAAATATTAATACGATTATTTATAAATAGTTGTTTTGTTATAATAATTGTGATAAACGGAAATGCTATATAAGTACTTACTATAATCTGTCTTCTTTTAGATGCAAATTTATTCTATTGTATTAACTAACAATATGTGTTTCTTAGATCTAAAATATTATTAAATACAAATAATTAATTGCTGGACAACATAAAATGTTTATCAAACCGCGCCGTTTTCTTTCAGAGGGCTCGATCCGAGTTAAGCGGCAAGAGGAGAAGAAGGAAGAGAGCTTCGAGAGCGAGATCTGTAAGGACAAGGATGCGGGCGAGTGGTTCAGATTGGTCGCGGGTGAGGGTGACAATTGCCGCGACGTCATCCAGTGCACGAGTTCCGGTCTGCAGGCGATCAGATGCCCGGCCGGCTTGTACTTCGACATCGACAAGCAGACCTGCGACTGGAAGGACTCCGTCAATAATTGCAAGCTAAAGAACAAAGAGAGGAAGGCCAAGCCCCTGCTTTACACCGAGGAGCCGCTCTGCCAAGACGGCTATCTCGCGTGCGGTGACGGATCTTGTATCGAGAGGGGTCTCTTCTGTAACGGAGAGAAGGACTGCACTGACGGCTCCGACGAAAACATTTGCGGTAGGTTGATGTTGAAGGAAATTAGTGGCGCTCTACATCGAGCGACACTTCCCTCTCTCGATCGTAAAGTTTCTTAAAAAAAAAATATATATATATTTTTTTTTTTTACTCAAAACGGTTGCAATCTTTTCAATGTTCCAGACATGGACAACGATCCCAATAGAGCTCCACCATGCGATCCCGCCGTGTGTATCCTGCCCGACTGCTTCTGCTCGGAGGACGGTACCACGATACCCGGCGACCTCCCGTCCAAGGACGTTCCCCAGATGGTCACGATCACCTTCGACGACGCCATCAACAACAACAACATCGGCCTCTACAAAGAAATCTTTAACAGCAAACGCAAGAATCCGAACGGCTGTGACATAAAGGCCACCTTCTTCGTGTCGCACAAGTACACCAACTACTCCGCGGTCCAGGAGATGCACAGGAAGGGCCACGAGATCGCCGTCCATTCAATCTCGTAAGAATCAACTCCTTCTGTTAACACTGCCATTTCTCTCATTTACATGCCATTTAGAGAGTCGTCCGCCCCCGATTTTGATATTCTTCGCGAAGTTACCACGGAGAGACCCATGGTCTCGTTCGTGCGCATGGTTTCCCCCCAGGACGAGCAGGTTCACGAGTTCGTAAATTGAAGGGCAGGTTCACGAGTACACCTGCTCCTACCTGTCATGTCATGTCGCTCATGACCATAGTCACAATTGTTTAAATTCAGAACACGGTCACTACGTAATTCTTACATGACAACTTTGGGGTAAGGCACAACGACGACGAGCGCTTCTGGTCGGACGCGACCGTCGACGACTGGGCCAAGGAGATGGCCGGCATGAGGATCATCGCCGAGAAGTTCGCGAATCTGACGGACAACAGCGTGGTCGGCGTGAGGGCGCCGTATCTACGGGTCGGCGGTAACAATCAGTTCACCATGATGGAGGAGCAGGCCTTCCTGTACGATTCCACCATCACCGCGGCCTTGAACAACCCCCCGCTGTGGCCGTACACCATGTACTTCAGGATGCCGCATCGCTGCCACGGAAATCTTCAGCACTGCCCCACCAGGTGAACACATCAATCCCGATCATAAAAAGTTCTTTAACGACGGTCATCTTAAGTATGATCGAATAATTGTTCGCAGGTCACACGCCGTATGGGAGATGGTGATGAACGAGCTGGATCGGCGCGAGGATCCGCAAAACGACGAGTATCTGCCCGGCTGCGCCATGGTGGACTCGTGCAGCAACATCTTGACCGGCGATCAGTTCTACAACTTCCTCAATCACAACTTCGACCGTCACTACGAGCAGAATCGCTCGCCCCTCGGCCTCTACTTCCACGCCGCCTGGCTGAAGAACAATCCCGAGTTCTTGGACGCCTTCTTGTACTGGATCGACGAGATCCTGCAGAGCCACAATGACGTGTACTTCGTGACGATGACCCAGGTGATCCAGTGGATCCAGAACCCGCGCACTATCACCGAGTCGAAGACCTTCGAGCCCTGGCGGGAGAAGTGCTCGGTGGAGGGACCGCCGGCGTGCTGGGTGCCCCACACCTGCAAACTGACCTCGAAGGAGGTGCCCGGCGAGACCATCAACCTCCAGAGTTGCGTGCGCTGTCCCAACAACTACCCTTGGGTGAACGACCCGACCGGTGACGGCTTCTTCTAAACTGCCGAGCGCGATTCTCCTTCTCGTCTAAGTCAAATTTCTCCTTCTCTTTTCTCCTCAGTCCTGCCGAAATCCTTTCCTCCCCGTATCTCAACCTGACGTCGGTCGAAAGGCGCGTCGCGAGTCCAACCACGGCGCCGGAAGTCGCCGATCAAACGCGCCGCGCCAAGCGTCCTCGAGACTTTCGAGAGCAAGGCGTGGCGATTACGGCGACGAAACACATGGAAGAAACGAGGAGAAAGATCATCGTCATTCCGTTAGACTCCGGTTTTATAGTTGCCAATATTTTTTCGCTGCTTTTTATCGTTGAGAACGACGTATCTGTGATGATTATAGTTTGGTTCAGTTGGAATAACACGGAGTCTAATGGACTGAAGGTGAGTGGAGTATAAAATGAAGCTCTCTACCCGCTTCGCATTCACAGATGTCCCCTTCAGCAATGGCGTTCAGCTTCGTCTTCAGTCTTATACCCGAAATTCGCACTCCACGTTATAAAAGGAAAATCGCTACTGTATTTCTTCTTTCGCGCGTGCCTCGTTATCAGCTGGCGATTAAACCTAACGTTTCATCACTGCGCCAGCAGTTGTGTGATAGACTCCCGAAGGCGACGACCTCGAGGTCCTCGAGGCGGCGACGACATTGACCGATCACGTTGAACGACGACGCTGACGATGACGATGACGATGATGACGAGAGCCGCGCGCGCGTTCCACTCGAAAAAACGGCAGAAGCAAAGGCAAAATGTCGCGCCCCACCCGCGTCCCACGAGGAGAAATCGCGGATCCTTCGATGGAGGCGGCTTGATGATCCGCGAGTGGGATATTCCGTATGTAATATAACCGTTGTCTCCCCTCCCCCTTCACCCCTCGCATCCTCCCGATACCCCTCGAAAGCCACGACCGATATCGATCTATCGGCGAAAACACGCGCTTTCTTCCCGTCAAACTTCCTCTCCCGCCCACAGAAATAATCCTCGAAAATCGCCAAATCGATTGCTCCCCCGATTCGAGGTGTGCCCTTATTTTTTTTAAGGGTGTACCGAATATAAATATATATATAAATTTATAAATATATATGTATGAAAATTAAATATTGCGTATGTATATTTGTAAAACTCTAAGTGATACTACCAACGTAGCGTTCTCGACGAACCTTTGAATAAAAGATTCTGAGAAATCACACATGAAGAGATCTGTTTCGTTATTTCTTTTCTCCCCCTCCCCCCTCCCTCCCCCCGGACTCGCTCACCGCGCATTAACCATTGCGATCGTTCGGTAATGGGTTGGAAAGTGGGGCACGCTTAGGCCCCGCAAACTTGACCGCCATTCCGGTGGTGGAAAAAAGGGGGGGGGGAGAATTTATTTTTCAGATGCGAGACACAGCGCGAACGCGAAAGCACGGGTGGACGGAGATTCATCCGTTCATTAATTTTCCCATTACTTGGTCGTTAGTTATAGAGCCGCGCTCCGAGGGAGCTTTTAAAGCGCGCGCGCGCTCGTTCTGAAGTTAATTGGAATTAATGTGCCTCGTTAAAATCGCGCGATACAGAACGCGTTGCGGAGAAAACATCCGCTACCGCGTGTGTGCGAGCGTTGAAGAGAAATCTTGTTTGCGAATCGCAAAAACTCCTCCCCGCGTGAGGACGAGTCCCGCCGCGTCCTTTTCTCAGGCCGGTCATCCGTCTCCGGTGGAAAAAGAACATCTTCGTTCGATATTCGTCAGAAGTTTTACGGCCGGTGCACCATCGCGAGATGCAAAGAACGTATTTCAATTTATGCGCCACAATGGAGAGGCACTCATTCCGATTTCGTAATTGCACTGAAAATCTCACTCGCGTGTCGCGACTGTCGCGGCCTTGATCTGATTTCGATTCACCGTGGCGGCGGGTATCGATGACGCGATGAATTAAGGACGAGCTGATCCTCCGTCGATCCTCGAGAGGATCCCCGAAAGCGAGAATTCAAGAAAGCGCTCCGTATTTCGAACACTGAATTCCGAATTTTCGGTGACAGTGACGATAAGAGCCCTGCATTATTGAGAAGCTATCGATTATGACAGTTTATACCCGTCCAATTTGATATATTTCAAGTTTTTGATATATCTAAATTCTTAATTAAACAGGCGTTGAAGTAGCATACATGTGCTGAGAAAGTATATTTATATTTACATATCTTCGTTATTCATGATTAAAAAAGCCGACTAATTACAGCGAGGTGGATGAGAGTTTGGAGTTTTATTATTTTTTTTTTCGCCGGTAATTAGAGGCGTGGCAAATAATTATACATCCCAAACGGGAATATGCAATTATTTATAACAACGTTGCACGCGAGCTTCCATGCGAAACTTCGAATTAAATCTCGTAAAAGTGAAGAGGAGCGCGTCGCGCGCATTTATAACAGCTCGCTGCTGAAAACAGAATTACGACGAGTCCGCTATTCTTCTATCTCACGAACGCTCACCAAGTCTCACCTATCTATAAATTAAGGCAGATTAATGGCGTTACGCTGTCGTTACATGCGAGCGCGCGCGCGCGCACGTTCGCGTTTTATTATACAAACAAAATACGCCGCTTCGCATGCCGCGCCGTCCCACCGTTATTCCCTGCCTACGGGATCGGGGCGAATCGGGGAAAAAGAAAGGACGGGATGGGAGAAAAAAATAATGGTAACCTCGTGAAATACCAACCGGCCGCCGACGGTTGCATTCCGATGCAGCAGCCTCTCTTTCGTCGCCGTTTGAGCGCCGTTTCGAGACGAGGTTAATCAACGTCAGGTGAATTCCGCCGCTGATGGAACTTTTATTCCGCGAGCAACAGGTACCTCAATCGCGATCGTAAATGAAAGGTTGCACACGATGTATCGTAATTATTGTTAGTTTTATGTTACACGAAAATATAAAGGACGATATGTCAAATATTTATACACGTTTCCGCAGAATATGTCATGGCAACCATAAACGAGGTCTCTCTCAAATGCCTACTCGCATAATCGACGTACATCCACACTTCTACTCGCGGTATAAAGTCTTCGTCAGATAATTTTTCTGCGTCACGCGAATGGGAGGTGCACCCACGTTCAAATTCCATTCATCCGCGGAAGGCACGCTAATAGTTTTCGCAACACAAAGGCGGTATCCTTTAAAGATAGTATGTCTCGTAACATCTCTTTCTGTGCTAGATGTCAGGAATCGGTGGAAACAATCCTTAGAAATTTGTTAGGCAATAACAGACCTATTGAAATATTATGTAACAGTTAATATTTATATATAATTGATTAAACGGTAATTAATTTTGCGGTAATTAAAACGAACTAATATGTTATAAATAATCAATGTTATTTTAAAGAGAGGGACATTACATTTAATCCTGATTAGGATTACATTATACCATTCAATTCTTTAGCACCGAGCGCGATCGCGGCCGAAAAATTTTTCTTTCCAGTGTAAATTAATAATCTCGCTAATTGCTCTGAATACAATGCGATTTAATGGACTGGACACGAGGACTTCGCGAGCAGCATTTTAATGAGCGGAGTCGCGGGAAGGCGGCGTTGATCCATTTCGTACCGGGATAGGCCGAATTTTTTCCTCTTCTCTCGGCGCCCGTGCTCGGAACGCGGAGCAAACGGCGCTAAACGGCAAACCTGAAAATCTCGCGCATAAGCGAAAGTAGAGAAAGCTGAGTGTCTCGCGGAGCCGCGGCAAGGCCGTTGCTGTTTAAAGACGAAACACGCCTAATGGCGCGGCGCCGTCCAGATGCCACAATCACGTGCGCGCGTCTTCCAGATGCGCCACCGGGTATTAATCGCGTTCGCCGCACCGGATCGATTATCCTCGGTGGATATACGATAAAACTTTCATGGACTCGAGCGAGAACTGTCATTAAGTTCCCCCCGCCCCCCTAAGTTTATCGCACCGGTATTAGTTCTAAAAGCGATATTGTCGCTTCGGTGCGAACGTGATCCGCACATGATTACACAAAGACGCTTGATTGCTCCGAAACGTTAAGTGCTTTTATGCAATGTTACATGACTCAGTTGGATGTATCGGCCCAATTTTAATGCACGTGAAAATAAATTACTCTCATTACGTCACACGTTCCAACGCGGCTAAAATGTTTGTCATGAATATTTTCACGTCTTGAGGATTGAGCCTCCGAATTGCAGATGTAATGTGCTAGGAGGATACAATTCGAGCAACTTGAAACGGTCTGCATGTCGATAAGTGTATACAAGCCGTGCAACTGCGCAGTTCGCTCTATGCAAAATCGCGTACGTTGCATTATTAATAATAATACGCTCCGGCGCGGCGCAGGGAACAAGGATATAGGGGAATGCAATTTCGGAAGCTGAAGGCAGCGTACCGCCGCTTCTGGTGGCGCTTCCGGTGGTGCTGTAGCATATAACGAGATCCGACCTGAAACAAAGCGGACCGGACCCGTTAAGCCGCTCGCAAGTGCAAGAATCCCCGATAATGGAATATTTAATAACTTCTGACTCTCCGGTCGGCGCGCGGCTCGCGGCGCGGCACGGCGCGGGCTGGCGCGCCTCGATACCAAGCCGAACGATGAAACGATCGGCATGAGTCGGTGAAATTGACTCCTACTAGGTCAGTGGGTGACGGAAGGCGAGTGACGCGGCCAGATATTCGTCTATCTGTTTGCCGCGGCTTGTTTTCAGTCAGTCGCATGCAGATAAACATCGTTGCCGGTCTATCTCTCCGCGCGGTTAATTGAAATTCTCCTTGCTCGACGAGATCGGAGGCGGGGCCCGGAGATTTTCTCGCAATGCTCAATTTCACTCGGCCCGATGATATCGTGACGGATGATTTAAAAATAAAATCCGCTTAGCGTAAACAACAGATATTTGTGCTGGGCGAGCTGCAAATGTAAAACAAACTGATAAATTTGCGACGTATAGATAGAATAAAATACATAATCGCATTTTTTATTTTTATGTCAGTGTAAAAATTAATATTTTAAATAAATAAATTATTATGTAACAAGAAATTTTAACTCTCAATGACAATGTACATACAAATAGAATGTAATATGATATCTTCGAAGGCTCTATTGTTATATAAAATTGTTATATAAAAAAATAGCTTAATTTCAGTAAAATGGATAAAACGTAGAATGATGCCATTATTGTTGTAAAAATACAATCAAACCAAGGATGTTTGCGAATTTATTCTAATTAAAAAAAAACAATTATCTGAATGGACCGTAGAATGTTTCAAACAACTAACAATAAGGTGAAAAGAACACGAACACCGCACAAAGGGGATCTTGGTGTCTGAAAATATATTATCAAAATATATTTATCAAATACCAAGATCTACTTCATATTGTATTGGCGGTTTTTCACCGCCAAAAAAATTTCCTTCGAGCCGGATTTGAACCAGCGACCTATGGATTTCTTCTGAACGGAGCTCTAAACCTCTACAGTCCACCGCTCTACCAACTGAGCTATCGAAGGCTCATGGAGAAGTTTACTTAAATTAGCCAGATCTTTTTAAAAGACGTTGTCTATAACTATTAAAACAAAATATTTACGCATTGCGTTATTATATATTTAAATTAAGATGATATAATATGAAAAAGTATCCTTCAGGACGAATCTAAACCAGTGACTTATGGATCTTCTGAAGAAAATAATCAATTACAGCCCACCATTCTATGAAGCTATTAAAGATATAGAAAATGCAGGTATTCGCCTATAAAAGAATGAATAATAACCTGTTAAACTTTCATTAACGTTGCATAGGATGTTAAATACTTTTAAAAGAAAGTTCTTGGAAGGAAGGTAGTAAAGAAATTCTTTCAAGCCGGATTTAAACCATTTATGAATGCTATATTTAAATATGAGTAACTACAGTCCACCATTCTACTAATTGAGCTGAAGAGTGCGTATACATATATAGGGTGTCTTAGAGATAGTTAGCCAAACTTTATAATCAGATGGTATTCACTGTAAAGATAAAAAAACTAATGCAGTGACCATAAGTTCAGAAATATTTTCATGTACGTTCATATAACTTTTCTTCAAGTTTATAAGTAAAATATGTTACTAAAGTTTGACCATTTATTTCTAAAATATCTTGGATATCACTTCTATAAATAAGAGTGTGATATCGTAGCTATATATAAAATAAAGAATTGACATATATCTCACAAAAATTTTTACGGTTGAG